AGCCAGAAAACCAGGCAGTTCTATCACTTTGTTGATCACTAGATCAGTCAGGTTAAAGACTATAAGTACTAGCACTAAAGTACTATATTGTAAAATATGTCCAAAAAGTATGGTGAATAACTTGACAGGTAGTCTCTCCAAAGATACAGTCGTGGATAACTTATCTCAATGTATGTAGGTATATTTAGACTAGATTATTGAAGATGATTACTATACCAACCATGAAACGTGCCGTATATGACAAGCCAAATTATTTCCAATAACATAAACAACAAAAAAGACGAGATACGAACGGCGAATTAAATAATATTAGTACATAACCATCAAAATATGCTTCTTAATAGGAATCAAGAAGCAACTAGACAGTTCTATAATTTTGTTGATCACTAGATCGGCCAGGTAAAATACTATAAGTACTAGTACCAAAGTACCATTTTGTAAAATATACAGGGTGTTCCTTAATGATATGCGAATATTTAAGGGTGCGAATCTACATAAAAAATTGATGTTAGTTTGCTCTATAAACTAAAGTCCAAAAATGTTTCCTTACAAAAACGCGGGGTGTTGGTTTTAATGTTATGTTTATGTTGCCAGTTGTTGTTGTTTATTACCCCTAATGTGTTTAATTTTTCCAATTAAATTAATAACAATAGAACGGTTTTTATTTTTTTTCTCAAAAATGACGCATCAAAGGAAAACAATTCAAGATAGATCATTTGTTTTAAATTGAACGAGGTATTCAAAAATAATTTTTATTTGACAAAAAACCATTGGCGTACCATTTTTTTCTTAAAAAATAGTACCTGTACGCACGCCACTGTTAAAGCTATAAATTATTTTTGCATTAAAAAATATAACTTTATTAACTTTCACTACGTACTAAATATCAGTGAAATATCTGAAGCGGTTCTGAAAATATTAATTAATTTCCATTTTTTTACTAAAACTTCAACACCCCGAGTTTTTGTAAGGAAACATTTTTGGACCATAGTTTATGAAGCAAACTAACATTAATTTTTTATATAGATTCACACCCTTGAATATTTGCATATCATTAAGGAGCACCCTGTATACAGGGTGGCCCATCCATGTGTGGACGGAATATTACTCATAAACACACACACATTTTGGAAAAATCTATTTATGGGATGTTATTGAGGGCACATTTCTAAAATATTGGCCATTATACAGGGTGTCCCAATTTCGACCTACATATCAACGTTGTGATTTTACAAACGGAATGCCTTAAATTTTATTGCATATTTAGATAAACCAATTCAAATGAAGAAAATTGATATAACATACTATGTGGTTTTGGTAATTAGCTACTGAGATATAAGGTGTTTTGTATAGAAAAACCCCCCCACTTCGACATCCCCTCAGTCCGCCATTTGCCTTTGCTTCTGGAGGATGTCAGCCTACAAACTCGGATGCATATGTACTTCCAACATGACGGCGCACCTGCGCATATCAAAATCCGTGTGCGCAACTATTTGGACACCTGAAGTAACATCCGTTGGATCGGTCGCGATGGGCCTATATCCTGGCCTCCTAGATCACCAGATATGACACCGATGGACTTCTTTCTGTGGGGCTACGTTAAGCAAGAGGTTTATAGATATCCACCATCTACCCCGGAAAATATGAAGGAAATATGAAGGATGCTTTTCTGAACATAAGGGAACACATGCTGAGGGATGTGCGACGGCCATTTATCCAAAGACTACGGCTGTGTATACAACATGGTGGAGATATTTTCGAGCAGTTTTTGTAGATTAGGACTTGAGTAGTGATAGTTGTTTGTTCATGTTGTTGTTATAGTTGTTTTTCTCTATTACGCTTGAAGCTGATTTATACTGTTCTGATTGTTATTAGTTTTTACGTCAAATCTGTACTCTTAGTGGCAATATGGAACTAGCCCACTGTTTGTCTTTTGTTTCCATGGATGACGTGATTTGTTTCCTTAATTTTGGTCTGTTGTTCTATTAAAAGCTTAATAACCCAAAATCTAGTGATTTTATACGAAAAAAAGCTTATAAAAAATTGAATCCAAACTTGCTCAAATGTACAGAGTGATTGATGTATGAGCAAAAATGAAAATTCGAAAAAGTAACAAATAAGATAAAAGCTGAGGTGTGTAAGTTTTTTTGGATGAAAAATTCAGCACTCCTAATTCAAAATGGCGGATTGAGGGGTTATCGAAGTGGACGGTTTTCTCTGGTCAAAACATCTTACATCTGAGTAGCTAATCACCAAAACCCCATAATATGTTATATCAATCTTCTTCTTTTGAATTGGTTTGACCAAATATGCAATAAAATTTCTTTTCCTTTTGAAAAAACACAACTTTGATATGTAGGTCAAAATTGCGGCAGCCTGTATAATTGCCAATATTTCATAAATGTGCCCTAAAATGTCATGTATATCATGCCATAAATAAATTTTCCCAAAATGTATTTGTTTATGAGTAGAATTCCGTCCATACATAGATGGGCCACCGTGTATATATATATATATATATAGGGTGACTTCGAAGTTGAGTCATTTATTTTAACAGTGAGTAGATCTGATCAAAAGAAATGTTTTTTTTCCTTTGCCATTTTTCTGTTAAAATTAAAGTAACAAAGTTATAGCCCTTTGGAAGTTTGAGTACCGCCCTGTCTCAATAATAATATTATGTGCTCGTGTTTGGCAACAACGGATATAATCCGCCTTATCGGTTCATCGCATCGGAAACAAAAAAGCGAAAGAATTTGGAATGATGTTTTTACAATTATTTTATTCAGTTGTATACAGTCAGTGTCAGTCGGTAACGCGTGAGTGAATAGTGGTGTCTGTTGCGTGGCTCAAACGAAATCAAAAATGGCACACGAAAATGCTGAACTTGTGGACATGATTCTTATTTACGCGGCATCACGGATTTATGCGGATCGGTTTCCCAATCGAGTGCAACCAACCCCTCGTACCTTTGTTAAAGTAGTACAAAGGGCTCGTGAATCAGGTGACTTAAGACCTCACAGGGGAGGGCATGCCGGTGCTCCAAGACCGCACGATCAAATACAGGTCCGCACTGAAATATTTGTCGGGAGGATACTTTATAAAACAAGGTAAAATTTTTTTTTTAGTTTTTTTTTTTTTATTTTTACACACATATTTTGGTTTATCTTCCTTCTACAATCATTATCTGAAAATTAATGACTCAACTTCAAAGTATAATCGATGAATAACTTAATAATTAGTATCTCCAAAATACCGCAGTGGATAGCTTTTCTAAATGAAAATGTTCCTTTATAACGTATGTATATTTTAAGACTAGATTATTGAAGATGATTACGTTACTAACCGTATATGACAAACAAAAAGAGTCACAAATAACATTAACAACAACTTCTAAAAAAAAGACGAAATACGAATGGCAAACTAAATAATATTAATATAGAAGCATGATAATATGACTCTTAATAGGAATTAAAGAGGAACTAGAAAATAAAAACTGTGTAAGGTCAACAGATTGAAGCCTTCAAAATCGATTTGATATTGAATGTATTGAGTGTCCACCTAGATCACTCTCAGGGTTAAGCTCAGAGCCAAGTTACAGTTCAGTTATCGATTTCGTTATCCTTTTCAACTCTTTTGTTATACCCGTTTCACAATCAGCAAGATTGAGTCAAATGTTGAACAAATTAATGCTGAGTCTTCCTTTCATTTTATTACTGCCGGGGTATTGTGTGAGTCAGTAAGTTACTGATGGATGCAAATATCCCTAAGCCAGCCCAGTGGTTTATGTTTTTGTGTTCAGTTGTTTACAAATACGGTGGACCCCCGATAATCTGGCCCCGGTCTAATCCGGCGCCCCCTGTAATCCGACATGTCTTTGAATATGTATTACATACATAGGTATTCGACAATCTACGCTAATGTAGATCACGCAGGTTTGAACGGGTTACAACTTGTACGCGCCACCGCTATCGTAAAGAGGAAAATGTTTTTCATGAAATGTCTGACGAAGAGATTATAAAAGAGGTTTCTAATTATACAACAAACAATCAGGAAAATAACGACGACGTGATTGCAACTGCTCCACAAGTCACAGCACAAGACGCAATTAACGCCTTTGAGCTAGGTTTACAATGGGCTGAAGAGAATGGTACATCCTACAACAAACTTTAACTTTTGAGAAGACTGAGGAACAAAGCTCTGATCTCGCGTTATAACAACCTTAAACCAAAAAAAAATTGATGAATATTTCCAAACTTCATAATTTGAATAATTCATTAATGGTTTTGATTAATAATTCTTGATTATTTTGGTACATATGTATGTGCATTTATACTTAATTTTATAATAAAACGTAAGCTCTGTATTGTTATTTAATTTACTGAATTCGACATACATAAACTATGTATGATTTATACTTCAAAGTACATACATATACATAACATATATAATCTTACCAGTGGATATGTAATTCGCCGGATTACAAGGTACCCTTTTGTAAAAAATTCCGGACTATAGGGAGTCTTAGGCAGTGCTCTATAAGCCGACAAATTCGATAGTCCGACACTGCCTTGCATAATGTTTGTCGGATTACCGGAGGTCAACTGTATATGTTTTATGTTGAACGGTTGGCAATCAAAACTAGTTTTTGGACATCAGAACTACGTTTTCTGAAGGGTATAACACCGAAAGCAACATTATAGGTTATGAACAGGGAATGGTTTATTCCTTTAACCTTGCTGCATGCGACGGTCTTGCCGACTGTAAAACGGTTTTTAAACCTTTCACAAATTGGTGCAATCCGCTGAACATAGTAGTTTATCCTAACACAAATAAAAAGAACTAAAGGTTATAAACACTGAATCGATCAAAATAATGCATGTCTGTGATGGGTCTGCCATTTGTTATGTTCAGTTGCACTCATTAGTTGAACTATATTTGTTTTCTATATTTAGACCTTTTGGTAATAGTTTAATGCGACTGAACATATTCAATAAACTAGTTCACTTGAGACTAGAGCACTTATGAGTTGACAAATCATTACAAAACGAAAGGCATCTTGTACAAGTGTGTACACTAATTCTATGACTACCAAAATCTGTGACGGACGTTGTCTCAAAACCGCATTTTTGACACAGATAAAGATTGTGATGATCTAAGTAGTGACTTTTCATATCGTGCAATTTCTCCACATCCAATCCACACTTTGAACATTTATACTTTGTTTCCTTCGTTTCTTGCTTCTTTTCAATCAAATCTTCTAAACGTTTTACTGAAATAAAACCTCCAGGTTCACTCGCTGTATCAGTGCTTTTGCTGCCAGTGTCTTCATCGTCCGAATCGCTCTCTATCAGAATCGGCTCTTGCTCTTTAGCAGACGCGCTTGACGTAGTAGTCGAAGGGACAGTAATGGTAAATGTAACGGTAGTGCTAGGAGTACTATTAGTACCGGTTTTCGGCGTTTCGGACACTGCACTACTACTACTCATGTTGGTAGCTTTTTTCGTAGTACCTTTTTGAAAAGTAGGTAAAAGGGCGGGTAGTTTGTGTACTAGAGGTTGTACGTTAGCCATGGCTTGTGCCCCAGACATAGTTGATGTTGTTTCGGTAGTATCTACAGTTTGGGAGACGGCAGTAGCCATAGAAGTAACGTTACTGATTATAGGAAGCGTCGGTATAAGCGGTGTTGGTGAAGCAGGTGCCACCTCATTTGGAGCAAACACAAAACTAGGACTCGACGATTGTGCGACGTTGATTTGATTTTTGAAAGCGCTGATAATTGCGTTTGTCATCTGTGGGGTCAGCGTCAGATTGGTTCCTTGGGGTTTGTTGCTAGGTGGAATAATAACATAAGCTATACTGGTTGGGTCGGTTGGATTGACGACTGAAGTAGAAGGCGTAGCTTGGACAGTTTGCGCCTGAGGAGTTGTGATGTAAGATGTACTCTGGGGTACAACCTGAGGTACGCTTTGTACATTCTGCTTCCCAGGCTGAGAGGGTCTCATGGGTGTTAGGCGAGGTAAAATTTTAGGAGGAGTACCTATTGCGCTGGTAGCGGCTGCAGTACCGGGCTGGGCGCTTTGGGGAACGATCTGGTAACTCAGTAAGGTAGATGTCGTGCTAGTCTCACTTTTAGTAGCTGTCGCAATACTAGTTGTAGCACCACTTTCGTCGTCCGTATAAACTACTTGATAGCTTAAAGGTCCAGTTTGCTGTACTTCAATTGGTGTCATCTCCGGTTTTTTCTTTTCAACGTTGCGTTGACTTTTGCTCTTCTTTGGTTTCACTCTCGGTTCAAATTGTTTGCCCATCATCTCCTTGAGAATCAACTCTGTCAGTTGTTGATTGTTTTTGGAGCTAGCTGGAGCAGCATCTTCACTCGTCGCTGTTTCAATAGTTTCACTATCGTTCCAGTCCTTCAGAATCGACTCAGTCAACACCTGTTTGCTTTTGGGAGTTTCAGGGGCGCTTTTACTTGTCGCTGCATCAATAACTTTATCATCACCACCTCTAATATCAACTTCATCGTCGTCAATCACAATCGTATCACTGATATCCACGTGTTTAGGGGCTTCACTAACAGATGTGCTGCTTTCAGACTGAGTTGGAGAAGACTTTTGAGGATCTTCAAATTTGCTGTTTTTATATAACTGAATTGAAGGTTCACTGTTATCGTTATTTAGTTGTTCGTGAAACTCCATATGAGCGTCAAATTCTTTCTTGCTGCTAAATTCATCATAACACAAGTCGCAGGTATAAGAGTTTATTTGCAGAGTAACATTTTGCTCTTCTGTATTTTTCTTTTTGGCTGTTTGTTTCCGAATTTTAGATTTTATTTTATGAAACTGTATCTGGTGTCTGTGCACTTGAAAACAGTCACTGAAGGCTTTATCACAAATATCACACTTATATATGCAACCGCTACTTTTCTTGGCCTCCTCGTTAGTTTTGTGTTGCAGCATATGAATTAACATAGCGTATAATGTATTAAATCGCCTTTTACATACTTTACAAGAGAATTTACACGATTTTTGGTATGGATGTGCTTTGGCTTCGTCAAGTGAGTTGAAAAATACGTTGCAAGTGTCACATTTAAACTTGCTCGCCGCTTTTTTACTTTCTTCGTTCTCCACAATTTTATCAGCCTTTATTTTACTGCCAGTAGCGTTTTTTTCCTCAGATGACAAATTGTCACGATTTTCTGAACTTTTTTCTGCTTCTTTTGTTTTGGTATATGCTATTTTCACGCTTTCTTCTTCGCTGTCTGACGATAAATGTGTAGCTTTGTGGTTTACTAATTCTTTAAAAGTATAGAATTTTTTCATACAAACATAACACGTGTGTCTTCTCCTACGTTGTTGGTATTTACCTTCCTTAAAAACTAACGTCTGATCTTTTTCTATTCTTGTTAGTTTTACCATGAGGAGTTTCTTGGTACCTAATTTTTTGGTATCTTCTTTACTAAGTGCTTTTGACCTAAAATATACATATATTTAATAAGCATTCAAGAACAAACAAAAAAATAAAGACATGGCATGAAAACAATCAACGCCTCTGTTAAGAAAAATACTCTTTATTACAATAAAATGCATAATGAATAAAAACATAAAGACATGGCATGAAAACAATCAACGCCTCTGTTAAGAAAAATACTCTTTATTACAATAAAATGCATAATGAATAAAAACATAAAGACATGGCATGAAAACAATCAACGCCTCTGTTAAGAAAAATACTCTTTATTACAATAAAATGCATAATGAATAAAAACATAAAGACATGGCATGAAAACAATCAACGCCTCTGTTAAGAAAAATACTCTTTATTACAATAAAATGCATAATGAATAAAAACATAAAGACATGGCATGAAAACAATCAACGCCTCTGTTAAGAAAAATACTCTTTATTACAATAAAATGCATAATGAATAAAAACATAAAGACATGGCATGAAAACAATCAACGCCTCTGTTAAGAAAAATACTCTTTATTACAATAAAATGCATAATGAATAAAAACATAAAGACCAACTTGGAACATGTATAGGTAAAGATAAAAGAGCTAATGTCAGTAAGAAACAACGTTTTAGGGATTTTCAAGTAGAAAAATTTCAGTGCTGGCCCAAAAACACCTAACTTGTTAAAGTTCTTAGTTTATCGAACGACTTGTAGAACATTTTTGTAGCTTTTTTATAACATAGCATCCAAAAACAAGCTCAGGTTGTTAGCTATCATCTTAAGATAGACTTTGTTCTCTATCTTTTGATCGACAGACTTTACATCGAAACATAAATATAATAAATTTAATTAATGACTGAAATTACATGAAATGATTCCTCAGCTCATTTAGGGCAAAAAGTTTATATGAACATATGTCTTAAACCTCAACTTTTGCGATAGTTATAATATAATATAATAATATTTATTCACTCAATGTACAAAGATAACAAACAATATGAGTAAATAAATATAAAATCAAAACAGGCCCAATAGAAGGCATCGCCTGTACATGGACCAATAATTTAAGTTGAAACTGTAGAATGCAAATGACAAAAAAGGACAAAAATTAGCTACAGTAGATTATGTTTTAGTTGATGTTCGTATTTATGAGTTTATGAATTTCAGTCCTAGATATAGAATGTAGCCACTTTTTTAAATTTCTTTTGAAACAATTTCCGAAACGTAAATCTTTTAAGTCTTTAGGTATAATTTCATAAAATTTTGGCGCTAAATAGAGATTTGATCGCTGCATTATAGATTTATGCGGTTGAGGAACTACTGTGCCACGAATTTTGTACCTGGTATAATGATTATGTTTAATTTTTTGGTCGGTGTTTACAAATTTATGGTAGTGAGTGATACTGTGTAAGAAATAAAGCTGTCTTATATCATACATTCGAACATCTGCGTATAATTTTTCAGTGGGATAAAGTTTCGGTTTTTTAAATATCATTTTTAGAATACTTTTTTGAAAAACATCTAAATTATAGATATGTGAGGAACATGCAGCTCCCCATGCTAATATACCATATGTGAGATGAGGCTCAATCAGTGCATGGTATAATGTTTGAAGATATTTTTCTGTCAATATATTCCCAAGGTATTTAATTTTGTATGATACAAATCTAACTTTCTTTAAAATATAATTGACATGGATTTCCCATCGTAAGTGAGGATCCAAGACCACTCCAAGGTATGGGCATTCTATTAATTTGCATTTTTTGATCATTAATATTGAAGGAGAAATTTGTGTAATTTGGCAGATGTCTAGCATAAGATCCAAATGGTAAAAAATGTGTTTTAGAGTAGTTAATGCTTAATTTTCTACTGTTAAACCACCGAATAATTTTGATAAAATCATTTTCAATTATATTTTTTAGATCAGAACAGTCAGTGCCTACATATAATATTGCAGTATCATCTGCAAAACTAGTTATTTTGCCAACACAATTAATTTGGAAAATATCATTTAAATATATATTGAATAACAGCGGACCTAAGACAGTTCCTTGTGGGACACCACACTTAATATACATTTCTTTACTAAATGATCCTGATATCTGCACAGATTGTGGGCGATTTGACAAATAACTTTCGATCAGTGAGTACGCATTTCCTCTGAAACCAATTCTCTCCAATGCTTCTAATAATAATTTGTGATTAACTGTGTCGAAAGCTTTCTTTAAATCAACAAAAATGCAGATTGAAGGGATTCTGTTATCAATATTTTGATGTATTTGATTTACAATTTTAGTTATTGCGTCCGATGTAGCCTTCCCTTCTGTAAATCCATATTGATTTTCACTTAAAATTTTGAATTTTGTGAGGTATCGAATCATTCTAGTAGATAAAACTTTTTCAAAAACCTTTGCTACACTGGATATTATTGATATTGGTCTATAGTTGTTAACATCTGTTTTTGTTCCTGATTTATGTATCGGTATTATATTACCTTTTTTAAAATTGAGGGATATATGCCAGATTCAAAGCATTTGTTGATTAGGTAAGTGAGTGGTTCTGTTATGTCCTCGGCTATAATTTTCAAATGCTCAAATAGATAGTATAATCCCGTACGGACACCACTGGTAGAAGTATTAAAAAACATTCTACCTAAAAAAATGCATATTGGTGCTTAGTCGGCGCATGTCAAATTTCTTGAAAATATCTACAACAGTATTAAAGTTATGATAAAAAAACGAATTATATAAACGTTTCTTCCTAGAATGAGTTGAAGAATAATATCCTGTATTTTTAGCCATCAATTATATTACACCCTGTATATTTTGCACATCCCAATATACTTAAATATTTATAAACAGAATGGATTTCGTTCAGTAAAAAAATTAGGAAAAAACAATAAAAGATGTTCATTAAAAGTGAGGGCAATTAAAATCGGGTAAATGGTAAAAAAGTGATGAAAATAAATGTTAACTCCATAATAAGCACATAAGTGTCAGATAGCTATACTATCAAGTAACAGGTTCTTAATGAAATTTTAGCTGAAATACAAAAGACATAGTCGCTATAAACATACATATCAAATCCGTATCGATTAAATTACAATCACTAGACACACTTGGTCAACACTTAAAATTTACGTGATATCACTGGATGTGTCTTAAACTAACATTAATAAACATTCACGTACACCCTAACAGCAAATCTTACAGTATCTCCAATCCCCAAATCTACAATTCCAAATGCTCTTTTACCAAGTGATCGTTAAACTCATCGTACGTATCAAATATGGCCAGGCATATTTTGCACACATTTTTAAGAGGTTTGAGATGTTCGAGAATGTGATCGTCGAATTGTTTCGGGTTTCGGACGTATTTGAAGCAGTACCTACAAATTCTCTTGTGATGGTTCTCGATAAAATGTCTATAGTACCCAATGTTCCCTTCGAAATCGACGCTAGAGCAAATGCTGCACCGAGTGATCAAAACGTGGCATAACTCTTTCAAATGAATGTGAAAGTCCGGTATCGACATTGCAATCCTTTTGCATTTTACACATTTGTAGTGTCTTCTCGGTACTTTGCTATTAGGTAATAGAACGACATAACGTGGATCCTCTTGTTCTATAAAATAGTACCCATCGCCGTCGGGGTCTTTCTCGGTACCAGGCTCCCCTGGTTCTACGATTGGTTCAGGTTGCTTATCGGAAACTTCAACGGTTTTCGCTGGAGGTGCTTCTGGGACACGAGGTTTCTCAATACCTTCGGGGAGTGATTCTGCAAAACCTAAGGCTCTTGGGCCCTTACGTCGTCTTTTGATAACAGTCTCTTTTGCTTGATCAGTTGTTTTTTCCTTCGATGCAATCTCAGACGAACTGTCTGACGTACTTTCAGCAGGTTTTGCTTGAGATACTGATTGTGTATCTACTTTGTCAGTCTCTTTTTTAGATACAGTACCATTTCCTGCCACTAACAGCTTCTGATCTTTCTTAACTTTTTCATCAGTCACAGTAGATATCGTATGTCTTTTCGCTTTCTTTATTGTCCTTTTTTCTGACGCATCATTGTGATTCTTCTGTTGTTTATCTTCTATTTTGCCTTTTTCATCCGTCGTAATAGGTAAGGATTTCCTATCAGTTTCTTCGAATCTTCGCTTGCGTGGACCCACGGTTAATTTCTGTTTCTCTTCTTGTTTAATTGTTTCACTTGTAGTATCAGACAACGAAGAACGTGTTGCTCTTTTAATGTTCTTTTTAATAGCAATCTGTTCACGTTTCTCTACAACCGCAGAAGTAACATCTAATTTTCCGTCCTCTATTTTTAAAGCCGGCTTCGATTCTTGCCGAGCTTTCGTTTCTACAATTTTTCTTTTCGCAGTACTTCCTACAGGTCTTCCCCTCTTTCGAGTACCTGGAGCTGATTTCTGTTCTAATAACAATTTCTTTTTCCGTCCTCTTTTTTTAGGCTGCCCTCTAGTTTCAACTTTGGTTGTTGCTCCATTTTGTTCTTCTGCTTTAGACTTAGATGGAGAACTAGCATGGTTTGGCTCCAAAAAATCATCTATGGCATCTAATATGTCATTAGTTTCGTCAATAGACGTCTTCCGTTTTTCGCTCGATTTTTTTGTTGCAATGTCTTCTTCATTAGGCTTGACAATTTGTGCTTCATTTCCAACATTCCTTTCAATTTCGACAGTTTCTGCTGTTTCGTTGAGATCCAAATCTGGATCGGCAGATAACCTGCAGAGAGAAACAGTCAATGTTTCGTCAACGTTTCCGATTACAGGTTCGTCAATAGACTCGTCAATATTCAGATTCAAGTCAGCGGATAGTTGTTCATGGAAATCCATATGTTCTTCCAGTTCTTTCTTGGTTCTGAAGACGTCGTAACATCGGTCGCACATAAAGTCCGCGTCTTTATCGTTCAGCTGTCCTATACCAATCTCTTCTTCTACAACTTCAAAAGAATCTTCTCTTTTAATATCAACATCTCCTATTTTATCTTGGCTTGTTTTGTGAGAATGTTTATGAGTTTCCAGTTGAGCTTTATCAGTAAATGTTTCAAAACATTCAGCGCATCTATATTTCTGTTTAGACGGGTTTGAGATTTTTTCCTGGATTGCATGTATAGAAAAAGCCAACTCGGTGCTCATTGTAACTTTGCAATTTTTGCAGAAAAATTTGCAGTTGTTTTTGGGGTGTTTCTTGATTTGTCCTGCGGTTGTGAAGCTAACGTTGCAAGTTAGACAAACAAATGGCCTTTTTTCTTTTTTGGTAGCGTGGGTCCTGTTCTTTTTTCGGTAACGTTTCGCAAAGGGATTCCTAAAAAAATACCTATTAGTTTTCTATACTCAAATTGAACTGGGTGAACACTGTTGAATACTGAATACAAAAATATCTATACCTACATCATCTATACTTATCAATACGTCTATTTACGAAGAAAAAAAAACAGCATTTTGAGACGACAGAGGGGATCCAAGCAGCATGCACCGGGGCTCTCAAGGCTATTCCGGAGAAGGCCTTCCGTGACGCCTTCAATGCTTGGAAATCGCGCTGGCAGCGCTGCATCGACGCAGGAGGAGACTATTTTGAAAGTTTTTAAAGAATTGTAACGATTGGCTCAATAAATTTTTTTTAAATCGACTCAGTCCTATTACTTTCCGGACAAACCCTGTAGATCGAAAATAAGGCACGTACGTTCTTAAAAAAATATAAAAATAAATGCAAAACTAAAGTAACTTAGATTATTATACTTACATAACGATGCAATAAGAAACAATATTAAGGTGCAAGGGTCAGAAAAATATGCATCAAAGATCAAAAGTTTATTGAACCACATTTGTAGTGCTACAATTCAGAGATGGTTAGATGATTAAATCACAAGGACTATATGAATCCTAAGAATAAATTAGAAAATATATATTTATCAGAAAATAAACAAACTCACTCATTATTACATTCGATTTTTACATATATTTACAAATATAAGAAAATGTCTGGATGAGATGTTGGTCAATCTACAATCATAAATTTTAAACTCTGAAAATTATTTTTCAATGTTGGGTAAAATAAGTTTGTTTGCTAAATTCGCACACGTAGTTCGTCAACCATGTTTTATATACTAAACATTTCATTTCGCCCCAAACAAATAAGAAATCACGAATGATCTTGAAAAACGATCTGAATGCACTCGCGAAACCTCGGTAGCGTTTCGAAGACACTCAGCGTAAGTTAAAATAATATGGACATCTCTTATATCGCTGTGTGAGTATGTCACTTTTATTGTTTTATTTTTTCGAACCCTTGTGTAGAGGCTTTGTCAACCAACGCGACCAGCGCCTGGAATGCATACTGAAGTCCAGGACCGGATTAGCTCTTGTTGAGGTTTGACTGATTTTGCAGCGCCTGGCGTCTCGGTAATCTCAAGACTTTTGTGTCTACGTAGAATTATTCAGTAAATTTGGTAACGTACCTGTGCGAATTCGGCTACAGTATATTCAGATAAGAGATAGACCGGATGTAAACAAAAGGTTCGGGTGATTTTCACGCTAACGCCGCCGTCTCGACGTAAAACAGGAGCCCTCATTGGTCAATTCGCAATTAAATGCCTATGCCGAGCGGCAGAGTAGTCGTATCAAGGCAGAGTCACATTCAGGTTCAGACGTGTTACGTATGTCGTGTGCATAATTGCAATTTGATATTTCTTTGGACGTTTTCGTTTGTTATCTTATTAAGTTGTTGAGTTTGTCGTTGTTATTGTTATACCTTGTTATTGATTGTTATTGTTATCAACTGCTTGCGCAAAATGCCCAGTAGTACAGATACTGCCGATGAAGTTGTAAACTCCTGTAGTCCACCTAGGAAACGCTCTAAAAAAAGACACCTGAGTGCAGAAATGAAAGAGGTCATTTTGAATATATATAAGATCGAGCGCGAGGAGAACGAGGCATCAACCATCAAAGAAATTGTTGTGAAGGTTTCTCACAAAGTTGGGGTGTGTCGCGCATCAGTGTTTAATGTGTTGAGACAATACAAAAAAAATCACACCTTTTCTGAGCCAATGACCAGTAAACATCGCAAAAGTATTGTTAAATCATTGGATGAAGCTGATAAGCATGCGATTAGGAGGAAAGTGCATGAATTCTTCTTTAGGAATGAAATACCTACTATAGATAAAGTACTGCAGGAGGTACATGGAGATACAACGTTGCCAAATTTCAAACGATCAACTTTCCATGCGTTACTGAAGCATTTAAATTTCAAATGGAAAAAATGGGGTCGTAATAGTTTACTACTGGATAGAGAAGAAATTGTGCTATGGAGGAGGGATTATTTAACAAAAATTGGGAAATATAGAAATCAAAACAGGAAGATTTATTACCTCGATGAAACGTGGGTAAACGCAGGACACACTACAAGTAAAGTATGGGTTGATGATTCTGTAACTTCATCCAGGAGGGCCTTTCTAGATGGACTGTCCACCGGATTAAAAAATCCAGCAGGTAAATACGAGTAATAGACAACAATCGGATGTTTTTCAAACCTTGGGAACAAGGTTCTAAACATTAATTCCAGGGGGCAGATAAAACATATTACAAGTAACAAAACTTTTATAACTTTCGATAAAATGCGTGGATGTTTTATTGTCATTTTCATTTGTTAGAACTTTTTTAAGCCATGTTTTTATGTTTTCGATATTTCAATAATTTTTTAATATAATCTTAAAATATGTCGAATATTATAAACTTAAAAAAAGTTACTAAGTTTTATATTGTGTACCGTTCCTAATATTTCTAATCATTTTAATTCATACTTTAAGCTTTATAAAGTTATAATTTGTTAATATTAATATTTGCGCGTATTTCAGGTTCCTGATCATTCATTTTTTAAAGGTTTATAACTTTAAATTAAATTGTGAAGCGCTGAGTAATCATACGACGTTCAATATTCTTTCTTTCAATATGACTAAATAATCCCAATTATAGCAATCTGATACTCATGTCTCAATGTTTTTTCGCTGAATGTGATGAAAACATTTGAAACAGGTTCGCTTATTGAAATAAATCTACACCAGTTAGTACTTCGATTTCCAGGTAAAGGGAAAAGGCTCATTATCTGCCATATTGGCAGTGAGGATGGATTTGTTGTTGACGGTCTGTGGTGCTTTGAGTCTAAGAAAACTGGAGATTACCACGAGGAAATGAATGGCGAATCGTTTGAACAGTGGTTTTCAAAAATTTTACCGAACTTAGAGGAGAACGCAGTAAGTGTGTTGGATAATGCGCCTTATCATTCTCGAAGAATGGAGAAGGTCCCAACAACGGCTTCAAGGAAAGTTGATGTTCAAAATTGGCTCCGCTCGAAAAATATCAACTTTGAAGAAGCAATGCTGAAAGTACAATTATTAAGAATTGTCAAGGATCACAAGGCGGAATATCAAAAATACGCCAATGACGAAATGGCAGCAAGTCAAAATAAAACTGTGCTCCGTTTACCTCCATACCATTGCGAGCTCAATCCCATTGAGCTCATATGGGCAGAAGTTAAAAATTATATAGCTAAGCACAATACAACTTTTAAATTTTGTGACCTCAAAGGACTTTTCAAAGAAGCACTAGAATTAATAACAGCGCAAAAATGGGAAAACTGTATTAAGCACGTGAAAGACAAAGTTGAAAAGAGAATGTGGGAACTGGACAATATTTTAGAGGAACAAGTCGAGCCATTCATTATTGACGTTGGTGCTTCAGGCAGTAGCGATGATGAAAGCTCATCAAGCTCATCTTTCCAATAAAAGATGTCGTTCATCAAATTCGGTAAGTTATAAGTAATTATAAAGCTACTGTATTTTTTAATTAATTATTGACATTTTTGAACCCATTTTGGCAAAACCTATTCAAGAATCTACTTTCTGACAATGTTCAACCATGCACATTTTTTTACGTTTTGAACGTTTTAATTTGGTTACATATTTACCTAGAAATCAAAAAATATACTAATCAATGTTCTAAAAGCAATTTTAAGAGATATACGATTACTTTTAATTTAGGCTAATTTAAACGCCATTTTGAGATTATATTCGACTGTATTTCACCAAACATCAGGCGGCATCCGAAGCTGGAAATCGAAGCGAAAATTTTGAAACCCTTATGTATATTTATATCATTATATATTTCTTACCCCACCCCCACATGATCCTATATCCATCACCAATCGTATACACATCGAATTGTGCTAATTTACTACAAAGTTACGCAAAGCAGCATCTACTATCTAAAATATGTACTGCGTGACTCTTAATACGTCCCTGCCGAATGTTACAGCGTTCGATGATCACGTGGTCTTGTTTATGTGCGGTCTATCTCTTATCTGAATATACTGTAGAAGATCTGCCGAAAAGTAAACAGGACTTTTGAAAGATATCCGATAACCGCTACAAGTAGCGCCATCTATTATCGGAGACTGGGTACATCTTTCGTTGATGCCCCGTCAAAATTTCACGACAGTAGATACACTTTTAGCATTGGTCGAAGAATGAGCATAGAACAAAGAGCCACTGTTAACTTCTATGTGAAAACAGTTACCGAAACGCATCAGATGTTGACGAATGGTTTACACGGTTCAAAGAGGGTCGAGAGTCGCTGGAAGACGATGAACATGTTGGCCAGCCAAAATGTGTGATTACGCCAGAAACCGCCGAAAAAGTTCGTGAATTTATCAAAAAGATGCAAAATCTTCATAGAGATACATAGAAATGGAATTAGATATCTCTAAAGATTCAATCCATCGTATTTTGACCAAGAATTTGGGCATGAGAAAGGTGAGAAAAATTGCTTCGAATTCATTCGAGAGACAGCATTAAGGCGGCCAAAAAAGACAAAAAACTTTCTGTACAACATCAACCACTCCCCATATTCTCCTGATATGGCACCATGTGACTATCGCCTGTTCGGTAAACTGGATTTGGCTATGAGAGGGCAGCGGTATGCTGACCTAGAGGCCATCCAAAAGGCGACGACGACCATTTTGAAGGCGTGTGAGCTAAAATCATCATTTGAAAATCAATGAGTTAAAATCATCATTTGGAAAACGTGCACATCGCTGTATTAACTCTGAACGAGGCTATTTTGAATAAAATAAATTCGATTCTCCGAAACAAAAAGTGTTTCTTCATTTTTTCTTTGTCCTGTTTACTTTGGGACAGACCTTGTATAGGGTGCGTGATCTATTGGGAATTAGTGAGACCACTTTAAGCCGGATTTTACACATTGATTTACACTTCCATCCATACAAAATCCAACTAACACAAGAATTGAAGCCGGCAGACCGTGGATTTTTGGCCAAAGTGCTCTTTTCTGATGAGGCTCATTTTCACCCCAATGGGTACGTAAATAAGCAAAATCCACGCCAATATCGTGAACAACCTCTCCATCCTGAAGAAGTGACTGTTTGGTGCAGAATTATGGGCTGGTGGCATCGTTGGACCATTCTTTTTTGAAGATGCCGCAGAAAAGGCCGTTACCGTCAACGGGGAACAGACTTTTTGTGGCCACAATTGGATCGTATTGGTACCGACGATCTTTTTTTTCATCAATACGGAGCAACGGCTCACACATCTCGCCAAACAATCGCCTTATTGCACACAAAATTTCAAGACATAATTACACGAAATTCATTTATCAATAAAAAAATTCGATTTCACCTCGTAAAAAGCGTGTTGATTTTTCAAATAGAAACAAAAGTAATAGATGACGCACCCTATATTTATACAGAAAGAAAGCTATACCCTCAAGCCCGATACACCTATTCTATCAAAATCGAACGATCCGCCTGAGTAGATTTGGCATGCGTCGCCAAATGCCTTTTGAAATAGTACTCATCTGCGAAAGTTCTAGAGCACACCTCACACTTGTGCCTGATCCCCATATGCCTGTTCTTATAATGATTCCTGTACTCCCTCACCGTGTAGAACCCTTTACTGCACTCTTCACATCGGTGCCTGAATTGATCTAGATGGCGCAACATGTGCTCTTTCACGTTCTTCTCGTACATGAACGTCCTGAAGCAAAAGTTGCATACCGCGCGGTCGGTGTGACACTGCGTGTAATGCGCAAAAAAATCGCTGTTGCTACTGAACGTAGCGTTGCAAACGTCACAGTTGTTGGTGTAGCATTTGCCCTTCTCGATGTGTCTGAAGAAGCCGAATTTGTTTATGAAAAGCTGCTCGCACCTCATGCATTTATAGTGAGGTACTTCTATCACATCGTTAGCTTCAACGTATTCGTAATTCGCCGCTGAAAAGTCGGGTTCTTCGTGACGCCTTTTCGGTTGAGGAGTTCTTTTGTTCGGTATCTGAGACTGTGTTCGGTACAGTTTCTTCGGGGTACCTGATAGTACTCTCCTCCTTATAACGATATTCCCGTCTTCATCTTCTAGCTCTTCTTCTTCGATTATCCTCTCACTCTCATCCAGAACGTATCCATGTTCCATGTTCACCAACTCCATACCTCTGACAGGTCTTTCTTGCTGCTCTACCACAACCTCATTGACACATTGCGTTTCTTCATCCAGAATGTATAACAGTTGATCGTTAGCTTCATTTGACTGTACCAGTACTTCTTGATCTTCATAGTTGAGTACCATTTCGTTACCGCCGGGCTTGCGATGGGAGTCGAAGTGATTATAAAGAGCATCAACATCTCTGAAGCGGGCTTTGCATTTGCAGCATTCGTAAAAACCTCCTACGAATTTTGGGGAGTGATCGAAGAACTTTTGTTTGTTGGGAAAAATCGCGTTGCACATTCCGCATTGTATGTTGGTCGATTCATCGTCTTCTTCGTCGTCAACGTCGTATATTTCTTCGTCATCCCTAAAAGTATCTTTTGTCAGGTTTGTTCTCAGGCTTTTTGAGGTGGGAGGGTGAAATAATACTGCGTTTAGAGCTTCTCATATCCTTTTATTAGAAAAAATACAAGCTACTGATACTTTGGGGCAAAGGTATTGAGTGGACAATTTATTATGACCAATGCTGTAGATAAAAATAATAATAATATTATTTATCCACTCAATGTACAAAGATAACAAAAAATATGAGTAAATAAATATAAAATCAAAACAGGCCCAATAGAAGGCATCGCCTGTACATGGACCAATAAATTTAAGTTGAAACTGTAGACTGCAAATGACAAAAAGGACAAAAATTAGCTACAGTAGATTATGTATTTAGTTGATGTTCGTATTTATGAGTTTATGAATTTCAGTCCTAGATATATGTAGAATGTAGCCACTTTTTTAAATTTCTTTTGAAACAATTTCCGAAACGTAAATCTTTTAAGTCTTTAGGTATAATTTCATCAAATTTAGGCGCTAAATAGAGATATGATCGCTGCATTATAGATTTATGCGGTTGAGGAACTACTGTGCCACGAATTTTGTACCTAGTATAATGATTATGTTTAATTTTTTGGTCGGTGTTTACAAATTTATGGTAGTGAGTGATACTGTGTAAGAAATAAAGCTGTCTTATATCATACATTCGAACATCTGCGTATAATTTTTCAGTGGGATAAAGTTTCGGTTTTTTAAATATCATTTTTAGAATACGTTTTTTGAAAAACATCTAAATTATAGATATGTGAGGAACATGCTCCCCATGCTGATATACCATATGTGAGATGAGGCTCAATCAGTGCATGGTATAATGTTCGAAGATATTTTTCTGTCAATATATTCCCAAGGTATTTAATTTTGTAGGATACAAATCTAACTTTCTTTAAAATATAATTGACATGGATGTCCCATCGTAAGTGAGGATCCAAGACCACTCCAAGGTATTTTATGGTGGGCAACTCTATTGATTTGCATTTTTTGATCATTAATATTGAAGGAGAAATTTGTGTAATTTGGCAGATGTCTAGCATAAGATCCAAATGGTAAAAAAATGTGTATTAGAGTAGTTAATGCTTAACTTTCTACTGTTAAACCACCGAATAATTTTGATAAAATCATTTTCAATTACATTTTTCAGATCAGACCAGTCAGTGCCTTCATATAATATTACAGTATCATCTGCAAAACTAGTTCTTTTGCCAACACAATTAATTTGGAAAATGTCATTTAAATATATATTGAATAACAGCGGACCTAAGACAGTTCCTTGCGGGACACAACACTTAATATACATTTCTTTACTAAATGATCCTGATATCTACACAGATTGTGGGCGATTTGACAAATAACTTTCGATCAGTGAGTACGCGTTTCCTCTGAAACCAATTCTCTCCAATGCTTCTAATAATAATTTGTGATTAACTGTGTCGAAAGCTTTCTTTAAATCAACAAAAATGCAGATTGAAGGGATTCTGTTATCAATATTTTGATGTATTTGATTTACAATTTTAGTTATTGCGTCCGATGTAGCCTTCCTTCTGTAAATCCATATTGATTTTCACTTAAAATTTTGAATTTTGTGAGGTATCGAATCATTCGAGTAGATAAAACTTTTTCAAAAACCTTTGCTACATTGGATATTATTGATATTGGTCTATAGTTGTTAACATCTGTTTTTGTTCCTGATTTATGTATCGGTATTATATTACCTTTTTTTAAAATTGAGGGATATATGCCAGATTCAAAGCATTTGTTGATTAGGTAAGTGAGTGGTTTTGTTATGTCCTCGGCTATAATTTTCAAATGCTCGCTTTTAATACCATCGAACCCAGGACTTTTCCGATTTTTTAAGGACATAACAGTGGTGTGTACTTCACACTGCTCGACTTTATCCAAAATAAATGAGTTCAAAGTACTTTTTGGAGCCTGAGTATTTTGTACATTTGCTTGTATATTACAGATGGGTGAATATAAGGTATTTAAGATATGAATGTTCCACCAAAGAAATCTTAAGCAAGTCGACAAATTGTGGAAACAAATCACTCAAATAATGTAAAATATAATGCTTAATTTTGAGCATATGATTAAATTTTGAGTAACCGTTAAGATTTGTTTTCTCTGCTCGTCCATTTCTTTTTTTGTCATTCCTTTACAATTAAAAATATTATAAACAATGAAAGCAAAGGCATCAACTCGTTATTAAGAAATGTTCTAGCATCTAGACATAAGAGTCTGTGACCTCTCAGTCTACATGTTTCTTTTGTTTCATGACTGATGGACCTGAAGATGTTTAATGAGGAAGAAGAATTTATTTAGCTAATGGTGTTTAAATCATATTTTCATACTTAAATCACGCCTATGGGTCACACGTTTCCGTTGGTACCAATAAAAGCAGTCAAAATCATTGTAAAATAAGTATCACGTCATTTAGCCATGTGACATGATGACTATGCAAACAAAATAAGCTATATTTCTTAGTTGACATTGAAAAATATCGGATATTCACCCAGATAATATTTTTTATAGGTAGTAATTCGTATGGGTATTTGCATATTTTGTTCCAATTCTGACAATTCAAATTGGAGCAATGAAAATAAACCCGAGATTCAGATGGTGAGTCGATTCTGAGAAAAAGAAAACAACATATGAATTTCTACATTTATACTGTACAAGGTATAATATAAAACTATAAATACATAATCTACATATTAATATGTTAAAACATCTGAGGTATATTTACATAACAGTTATATCTAAACACTAACGATAAACACTTAGTTAATAATTATACAAACAAAAAGTGATAAATTTTGAAATGATAAATGGTATCTGTTGATGAATGAACGTGTAATCTGTTATCTATTCTGATTACAAAAATATTTATGTTGCAAATGCAACAAGCACGCGTATGTTCCGACATTTTTTCGCAGTAAGATTTTATATGAAGTTTTAAGCAACTGGTCAAAAAATCCGACAAATTACCATATGTGGAAAGACTATTTGGCGTATATATAGATATATGTAACGGATAATATAGCTTGTGCGATTATATATAACGTTTGCTCCGTATTTCCCTGAAGATAAAAATAAATATAACATCACAAATTGCAAACTTAATGACTCAACAAAAAAAAAAATTGTAAAAACATGCATTGTGAATATTCTTCGGAAACGCATAAAATCTAAAATCAACACCCATCACGAAAAATTTGAATATCTAACCAGGTTTTTGTTGTTTCTTGGCCTCCTTGATTTTCATAGTTCCGTGTCAGCGCCCTATTTTATTTTGAGGTTATATTACAAAAATCTATTTGTATCAAACTGTTCATGCTTTTAATTTAAATCATCTGGTATAGTGGTATATCAGCCTGAAGTTTCCTACAATTCAAAAAGAACACATAGCCTCACGGAAAGCGCTGGCGCTGAGACTTAACAGTAGAAATCTGGAAATACCCCAGACTAATCCGAAGGAGAGAGAAGACTATGAAAATCAAGGAGGCCATAAAGGTGTCGTACAGTTGTAGGTACGACTGACGATACGGCCCTAAGAACTTTGGTCCCAACTCTTATTCCCGGAAAAGCTAAATATTTATCAGATGGTTTATATACTAAGTGACATATAAATCCGAACACCCAGTTTAAATGGTTTTATTTTAATAAAATTTTGTATAAGTACTTAATGAAGCATAAAAAGTAAATGATAAAAACTTCAAAATGATTGCACTGCTTTAAAGCCCTTTGACCTTTAATAATGTGTGGATGCACCCTGATGTGCTACGCATTCTCCAACGCGCCTAGGCATGCTTCTGATCAGGTGGTCAATGTCCTCCTGTGGTATCTCATTCCAGGCAACCACCAACTCCTCTCGAAGTGCTTCTAGAGTCTGAGGAGGACGTTGCAAATTGACCCATCATATCCCACACGTGCTCAATTGGGGATAAGTCGGGAGATCTTGGTGGACATGGTAACAATGTGACATCATTATGTTGAAAGAAGTCTATTGTGACTCTTGCAACATGTGGTCGGGCATTATCTTGTTGGAAAGTTGGATCTGCCAGGGTGTCAAGATAGGGTAAAAGATGGGGTTCTAGAACGACGTGGATATAACGCTGCGCGTTCATGTTACCTCTGATGAAGATTAAAGGTGACCTGGAACCATAAGCTATAGCACCCCAAACCATAACTCCAACAGTGTGATGAACATGTCTTTCAACAAAAAACTGTGGATTCCTCCTTTCACCACGTCGCCTTCTAACCCTGGCACGACCATCGTGCATGCCTAAACAAAATCGAGACTCGTCACTAAAGACAATACTGTTCCATTCCTGATCCCAGAGTGACCGTTGTCTGCACCACTCAAGGCGATTACGTCGGTGTTCTCGAGTTAAAGGGAGGACCCAGTGTAGCCGGTATGAAAACAAGCCAAAACTTCTCATTCTCGGTAAACACTTCGCATGCCAATAGGTCTTCCGTGTTCTGCAAACCATTCATTTGCAATGGACCTGGTAGTGGAGTAACGGTCCCTTAAGGCCAATAATCTTAGGCGGCGATCTTCACGGTCTTTTGTTCTACGGCGGCGTCCAGTGCCCCTTGCTCTTTGCGTACGGCCTTCTCGAAGCCATGCCTGACAACACCTAACCACAGTGTCTACACTTCTTTGCACTCTAACTGCAATTGCCCGAAAAGAAAGTCCAGCTTCCCGAAGTCCCACTATACGGCCCCTATCAAACTCACTAAGTTGACAAAATCGTACAGGTCTCCGTACTCTAGGCATCGTAACCGATCGTAAAGGATGTCAAGAACCAAAACCCGCCAACGTTGATTCTTTACTGCGGCTGAAATATTCATTTTTAGAGCGTTAGTGAATTAAAAAAGAGCAGTATAAAAACCGGAATGTCCATCTGATAAGGCTGAAAATTTTTTCACTTGTTATTTATAGTAAGATAAATACATTCACCAACTTTTATTAAAATAAAACCA